CTGCCAGATTTCCTATCGCCGTCAAAGTGTCCGGGTGTTCGTCGCCTGACATCCGCTTCCTGGCCTCGAGCACCTCGAGCAGCAGCGCCTCCGCCTCTTCCTGCCTCGCTTGATTCAAGTACGTCACTGCCAGGTTTCCCATCACTGTCAGAGTGTCCTGGTGCTCCTTGCCCAACGACCATTTCATGACCTCGACCATCTCTCGTTGCAGCACCTCTACCTCTGCCCACCGCCCTTGATCTCTGTATGTCACTGCCAGGTTTCCCATCGTTATCAGAGTGCTTGGGTGCTCGTTGCCACATACTCGCTTCCTGACCTTAACCACCTCTCGCTGTAGTACCTCTGCCTCTCCCCACCGTCCTTGATCCGAGTACGTCGCTGCCAGGTCCCCCATTGCTGCCAGAGTGTCCAGGTGTTCGTTGCCCAACACTCGCTTCCTGGCCTCAACCACCTCTTGCTGCAGTATCTCTGCCTCTCCTCGCCGCCCTTGATTCGAGTACGTTGCCGCTAGGCGTGCCATCGCTCTTAGAGTGTTTGGATGTTGGTCGCCCAACACTCGCTTCCCTAACTTGACCACCTCTTGCTGCAGCAGCTCTGCCTCTCCCCACCGTCCTTGACTCGAGTATGTCGCTGCTAGGTTTTCCATCGTTATTAGAGTGCTTGGGTGTTCGTTGCCGCATACTCGCTTCCTGACCTCAACTACCTCTCACAGCAGCAGCTCTGCCTCTGCCCACCGTCCTTGATCCGAGTATGTCATTGCGAGGTTCCCCATTGCTACCAGAGTGTCCGGGTGTTCGTCGCCTGACATCCGCTTCCTGACCTCAAGCACCTCTCGCTGCAGCATCTCTGCCTCTCCCCACCGTCCTTGGCTTGAATACATCAGTGCCAGGTTTCCCGTCGCTATCACAGTCATTAGATGTTTGTTGCCTAGTGTCCGCCTCCAGACCTCGACCACCTCTCGCTGCAGTAGCTCTGCCTCTCCCCACCGTCCTTGATTTGAGTATGCGGCCGCTAGGTTTCCCATGCTGGCCAGAGTATAGGGATTGTCTCGACCCAGAACTTTCAGATTGGCTTCGTGCTCCGCCTTCGCCAGCCTCTCCTCGTCTTTTGTACGCCCACTTTCAGCATAAACCCGATTAAGTCGCCTCGCTAATCGCGGCCTGAGCTTTTCGTTGTCCGGCAAGCAGTCAACATGACTCAGCAACACCCGACGGTGAGCATAGTCCTCCGTTTTGTACTCCCATATCACGGAAGACGCAAGCAGGAACGCAACGCAGCCACATGTCGTATCCGTGTTAGCGACCACGGTGCGAGTCCATTGCTGTACGAGAGGGTGAATCGAGTAGAAACGATTGGCTTCGTCATATGTAAGCAGAGAGTATGAAGTTAGGTCCTTTATCGTTCGTAGGAACACCGCCTTGTCCCAGGCACCATCTGTCAACCTAGTAAAGTTTGCCAAGAATTCGGTCGTCATTTCCTCGATTCTCGTCTCCTCGTCAGTTGGCGGTAGTGCATGTGTAAGCTTGAGGCCTAGAACAGCGATTCGAAAAATGTCCTCAGTGATCTGATCGTGGTGCATGAATGCGAGATAGTCGTATAGCTGTTTTGCAAGCAGCGATAGCCGTAGATAGCTCACTTGCCATGTCGCATATACCGTGAGCTCGTAGTCGTCCGCTTTTTGTATTTCGCTTGCATATTCTTCAAGTATCTGTCCTCGGCTAGTTTGGTACATTTCTAGGTATTCTTCTATACTGCACATATTCGCCTGGATATATGCACCTGCCTGTACAATTGCCAAAGGAAACCGGCCAAGCGTCTGTGTATAGTCTATAGTCAGCGCTATCCTGGCTGAAACACACTAAGCTATGAACAAATACCTCAATCAGCGTCACACCTGGCGCGCCTATATCCTGTGCCAACCCGGCTGCCGTTGCGAGTAACGCCTTGGCTTCATCTTCAGACATACTTGAAACGTAACAGTTTGCGCCCACACCACGCGCTAGATTGACCATCCCACGGTTACGAGTTGTGATCAGGATACTTCCATGCGAGCATGAAGGGAAGTAGCCGCGCAGGTTTGTCGATGCGTTGTCGGCGTTGTTGTATACGATCAGCCAGCGCTCTTGAAGGCGAGCCAGCCAGGTGAGAGCGTCGCTGGCGCAGTCGCCGACATTCTTTGCTAGGGCAATGCGCTTCAGGTCGACATCGATGATGTGATTAGAAGTGCAGTCGACGTAGAAGATGTGATTATAACTGTAGTACCGCGATAGTGAGCTTTAGATAGCTTTTGTAACAGGCCCTGTGCTTACTCATTCGCGTGCGTCTCCACGTACTTCAGCGCTAGTTGCGTCTTCCCCACCCCGCCGAGCCCGTGGAGTACGCATACACGCTGACCTTGTGCGTCACCGAGGCACCGCTCGATCTGGTTCAATAAATCATCCCTCCCTACAAACAATGACGATGGAGGAGGGCAAAGTTTGGTCGTATGTGTTGTACTAGACGCCTCTGGAATGCTACCTCCTGTCAGCACAAGCATTAGGTTAGCTGAATACAGGATAGGTTTCCAAAGCTGAGACTTACGCAGATGCATCGTTGGTACTCCGTTTTTCCTTTTCAGCACTGCGCGTGCAATTCTGGCCATCATAGCATCGTTCTCCGAGACGCTGACATATGTGCGAGCGTGTGCCGTTCCTTCTGAGCGTCGCTTCCAGTCTATCGTCTTGATGTTCTCCATTCCTTGGTTGACGCTCAGACGGAAGTAGTGTCCAGGTCGATTCATAAACCTAACTGACATTTCTTGTGCCACTCGTTCGCATTCGGTCGCTATATTCACCAGGTATAGTTAGTTGCATGAGTATGTGCTATTCACAACGACGTACCAGATGCTCGCCTTTGTGTAGCACCAATACTCACTACGCATGCTAATTGTTCATTTCGGAGCATGTGTGTGGCTTCGTCTAGAAGCTGGGCCATAGGATTGAAGCTGCTGAGCCCGACGTACGTCGATTTGATCCCTCCGGGCTCGGCGACGTCCATTGGCTTGAACAGCCCGCCGACCGCAAAGCTCGAGCATATGGCTTCGACGATGGTGCAGTCCGGTAGGCTGCTCGTGTCAGTTGTATATGTGCGCAGGCAGGTTGGTGATCCCGCCCTCATCCCACTTTCGAGGGCTACATACACCATTCTGAGAGATACCCGTTCAGACCAGAACCCTCCAGCTTACCAGAGAATTCGGACTTACACCTTGCAAGTCTCAGAGGCGCCCGCTGCAGGATCTAGCATACGCTCGCTAGCGTCCACGCCACATGATTCGAGCATTCGCTCCACCGCTGCCTTTAGCTTCGCTCTCTTGAATGCTTCGTTTCCGAACGCCTTCTTCTCTGAAAATGCCTCGTCCAGGACTTCTACGCAGTGACGCTTTGCCTCTCGTACGGACAGGCCAAGTCTACCGAGCAAGACAACTAGCAATCTAATCATTTGGAGTTACATTGGCGGATACACCCAACAAACCCACTCGAGCTTACCCCGAAAACCCAGCGCCTACCATCAGCCTGAAATGTTTTCGTGGCAAGGGCAAGTCTAGTAGACCCATCTCCTTCTGCATACGCCTCATCAACTCTTCTACCAGCTCGACCGAGGCCAGGAGTGAGGCTATGCTCCCTCCATCTTCACCAGTTCATTAGCTCGCAGTGTTCCAGGATTCAAAGCTAGCCTGGGATGTGCCCACCGAGAGATAGTGCATTTACGCCCTGATATTCATAGAGAGATTGCGCAGAAGACATAAGAATGGACTAAATCAATAGAAGACAAGATGCCGTGGTGGTTGTGCTCGGGAATTGAACGATAGCCGCCTGGCGGTTTATATCCAAGTAATTTGAAATTAGGTGTCGCGAGGGCGCACAAAGGGCGCATAAGCCTTGGGACTAGTTCCATTTAGTCGATAACTCGAGACTAATAGGGGCAAAATAAATGAAAATACAAGTGCCGAAGAGAAGTTCGCCGTATCCGTAGTGGTAGTAGGACTAAGATAACGTCCGGAAGGGAGGTGGTGAGAGTGCAAGGACACGTTGCCAAATAGGACCTCCAGGAAACGCGGTGAGAAGCCAAAAATCGGTGGGTCAAAGCGAGATTTATCGTGTACCATAATAAGGTTTCTGCATATACCCTCAAACGAGTCTCTAAACTTTGGTAAATACTCCAGGTTTACATTTGAATCGAGCTGCAGCACAGATGAGCCTACTCCTCCAGCGCGTTGCGTTTCATGGAATTACTTACCATATAGCATACATACAACCCCAATAAACGGAACGAGTTCACTATATGCGTCGATTCATGTCAGTTGCGATCGGAGCTGTCAAGAATAACCCTTTTGATGGGCGAGCCGCTGAAACTTCCTGAAATAGCCCAAATCGATATAAAAAGAGGTGGTGCGAATTTGATGCCCATTAAGCAGACATATTAGACAGGTTCATTTACCCAGTAAGCATGGCGAGATTCTGGGTCCCATGCAGGGTGACCTCGACAGGAGTGACCAAGCTGATCAAACAAGGTCTGATTGGCCTAAACAGTGCTCCACGGTCGCTCCCAATCAATATTTCGCTCAATGTAAAAATATTTTCAGACTCGCCCGTACCGAACCGAAGTGTCTAGCAAAAGCATGAGAATGCCAAAAACGGATAACTGTGTATTTATCAATGATTAGGAAGGTAGATAGAGGGAGCAAACGGTCTTCGACACGGCAAAAACCGCGGGAAACAAGAGTACCACAAGTACGAGAAATTGGTGCAGGCCTTACTACGGAGCCCTCAGAAAAATATAAATCAATGTAAGGAGATAACTAGAGGTCAACAAATCGCGAAAGGTGGCGCAAACGCTAGTTGGAGTGAGTTTTGAGTGGCGCAAGCAGGGAGCGATCGCGAGGGCTGAGGGGTGTTTGGGCCGAGGAATCGGGTTCAGGTTGCATCCCACTTTGGGACTAAAAGTCCAAGCCGGCGCATACAAGGCCGTACTGGGACTCGAACCCAGGTTGCGGGAAGATTTGACTTCAAAATCCCGAGTGCTAAACCACTACACTATACAGCCAGTGATGTCAGGGTCCGCGCTTGTGGATCCGTTCAGTAGGCGCTTTGAAGCCTTCT